CCATCTGGGTTTTCTTTTCCTACATTTTGGTCTTATTTGATATTAAGTAAGGAAAATGCTATACTTTATAGTATTGTCATCCACATATTTAATTAATGGGGTGCTTCAGTGTGGTTTACTGAGCAAGTAGGCAGATTCTGTATCTGTGTTGCTGAATAAGGTAGCCAGTCCCCAACGTCTATAAGCCAGCTACACAGCACGTGAGACATGCATTGATTCCCTTTGGACAATTATATTTGCATGGAGAAAACCACAACAGTCTATTTGACCCTAACCTCATGACCACAGTGAGAAACACACATTACAAAAATGGCTAAAAGTATTGTAAATATTGGAAGTATTTTGTAAGGTTAAAGGTATTTAATAATTAGTGTTTTCAAAATTGTGGTTTGTTACAGTTCGATTTAACCATATCATGGTAACTAACAAATATATGTGTGTACATATATTACATATAAAATATATACAAATATGTATAAAATATATACATATACATTTCCATTGTTGAACAACATTTCCTGAGTCCACCTCCTCACATTCTTCCTACAGTATGATCTGGCACCTTAATTCTATTCCTTAATAAGGTCTTGCGCCATACTTAATGAACCTCAGAGAAATACTGCCCCCTGCTGACCAAATCATGTATGCAATTGTTTAACACAGGCCACCTTGATGTCAAGAAAAAAACATGCATATCCCTAAGTCCTTTACAAAAAAGAAAAGTATCTTCAACAAATGGTGCAGGTCTATTCTGATGTCTGCATGTGGAAAAATGCAAACAGTTACATATTTATCACCTGGCACAAAACTCAAGTCCGAGTTGATCAAATACTCAACGTATGAACACATTGAACCCATTAGAAAAGAAAGTAGGGGATAGTCTTGAACTCATTGACATTGGAGACAATTTCCTAAGCAGAACACTGATAGGACAGGCACTAAGATCAACAATTACTAAATGGGACCCCATGAAATGGAAAAGCTACTGTAAGGCAAAGGACACAGTCAGTAATTCAAAAAGGCGGCTAACAGAATGGGAAAAGATATTCACCATCCCCACATCCAATAAAGGACTAATATCTAAACTGTACAAACAACTCAAGAAATTACATATCAACAAACCAAACAATCTGATTTACCGTTCAAGGTGAAATGGTTATAGATAAGCTAAGCCAGTGTTTCTCAACCTTTCTAATGCTGTGACCCTTTAGTACAGTGCTTCATCTTGCGGTGACCCGAACCATGTCACTGTTATGTCTGTCAAAACTGTAGTTTTTCTACGTTATGAACTGTAATGTAAATATTTTTGGAGATAGAGGTTTGCCAAAGGGGTTGCGACCCACAGGTTGAGAACCACTGAGCTAAACTGACATCTTCAAACTGAAGCTATGTTTTCTAGGAAGATTTTTTTTCTAGCTTGTTGTGTTTCTACTAAATAAAAGATGGTTTAAAAGCACGAGAATATGCTGCTTCTAACCTATAACTATCTTAGACATTTGTTGTGGTTTGCATCTATTTGGTTGATAGTGTTCTAATTTAACTATCATTTATTCTTAGAGTAACATTTTCCTTCTACATTAATCATAAGAAAACATGATTGTGAGACCTCATGGAGAGATGGTTCAACGCAGAAGGAGCACTTGTCTGTCAAGGAACCGGGTTCAGTTCCCAGCATCCACAAGGCGGTTCACAAATGTTAACTCTACTTCCAGAGAACTGGACCTCTTCTATTCTACTTGAATAGTTACAACAAAATACCACAACAAAATACCATATCGCCGATAGATAATTTCACAAGTTGTATAAATATATATTTATATATATTTAATTCATTATTTACATTAAATTAAAAAACTACATGCCAATCCCAGTTCCGTCTCCCTCTCATCCTCCCACTTCCCCCACCACCACCCCCCATCAACCCCTAGAGAGGGTGAGGCCTCCCGTGGGGAATCATCAAAGTCTGTGGCATCATTTGGGGCAGGACCCAGGCTCTTTCCCTTGCGTTTAGGCTGAGCAAGGCGTCCCTCCACCAGAAATGGGTTCCGAAAACCCAGTTCACGCGCTATGGATAAACAGTGGTCCCACTGACAGGGGCCCCACAAACTGCCCAAGTCCCCCTTAATGTTTAACTTGCAAAAAAAAGAAAACGAACTCCTCTTTCAAATCCAAAAAAAATATAGGGCGAGCAGTCCAAATTCGAAGCGAGGTTGTTTGTCCTGTGGCGGCACCTGTAAAGAAAGGCTGCCCCGCCGGCTGCGATTGGCCGTTACCATGGTTACGGTTTGTTGAGCTGCCTTGGGTGCTGGTGAGTGAAGGAGAGGACCGTGGTGAGCGGGTCCTTCTGGCGGCCCGGGGCGGGGCGGGGGTACCCGAGGCTGTGCAGCACGCAGGGCTGCACCCAGCTCATCCTTGCAGGGATTTCCTACCCGCTCTCCAAACCTGAAACTCCCTTGACGGCTGGAGAGCCCTCATCCTCCTCTGGACCACACCCCACCTCAAGGCTCAGTCCCTTTCTCCCCACCTGCCCGCCCCACCCCCGTGCCTGTCACCCACCGGGAAGGATTTCGTTCTTGGTCCCTTTTGAAGGACGTTTTCCTGTCCTATGACCATGGCTGAAGGGCGAAGAGTTCCTTTAACCTTTTCCCCACCTCAGGAGGTTAGAAAGCCCAGGTGATAAGTTCTATAAACTCTAGGAACCCCTAACTGAGCGAGTACTTTTCTGTGCATTTGCATGTTTGTCTGACTGTAAATTTAAGTTTTCATTTCTCAGGCAACACAGAAAAAAAAAAAATGGTCATGAAGTCGCTTGTGGGGAAGACAGGCACGTGATGCCCATAGCCTGAGGAGAGGCAAGTACAGACTTTTATTTCTCCCCTCTCCAGCCTTTCAGGTAATAGTCCGTGTTTATGTGGAGAGCCGTCCAGACAAGAACATGGTACGGTGGCGCAAAGCATTAAAAGGGATACTGAGTGGGACACAATTCTGTAGGTGATAGGTCCGATTTAGGGTATATAGGAAGAATGCTTAGATTAAGAACAGTAGCTCCCTTGTGTGACACTATTTATTGCCTACTGGCCCCACATGGGAAACCCAGGACAAACCAAAGTTAAGGGTACCACCAAAATCCAACTCGGCGAACAGGTGAGTTTTATTAGGATTCCTTGCGGGAATGTGTTTAAAGGGGGGCGGGTTTCAGAAATGTCTGAAAGGCAGCTGGGTCACCAAAAGCCCACTCCAGTATGGCTGAGAGCCCACTACAGCTGGGCATGGGAAGAACTCCAGGCAGCTCTGCTTGTCTGAGGGTGTTGCCAAGCAGTCCCTCCTGCTGGTAAGATGCCTGGGCAGAGAGGATCCTAAGGAACTTTATGGGGTACAGGGCTTTCAGGGAGCCTTGGAGTAGTTAGTGAGTTTGAAGAGCTTCCCTGCAGGGTAGAATGGTTTCCTTCCCCTTAGGACATCCTATGTCCCAGAAGTTTTCTTTCAGGGTGGAATGTTTTACCTTCCTTTATATTCGGCGTCAGTAAGAACTTCCCCTCAAGGTGGATGGTTCTCTGTTGGAAGGAATTGCTAGGTAGCAAGCAGGTCCTCTCCCAAACAGGATGCGTTTAAAAGAACGTTCTAAGAAGACCTAAGCAAATGTTTCGTTTCATTTTCTTTAAAGACTAAGAACTCCGACTTACCCTGTTCAGGCAGTACTGAACGAAGCAATAGATACCTTAAATGTTGATCCACGTTAAGTGAGAGAAAGAAGGAAAGGGAAGGAAAAACACGAAAAGAAAACAAGAATATCTAAGAATTTGAGGAATAGGAAATATTTGTAAAAATGTTGCCAGGGAGAAAGTGAGAGCTGACCAGCTAATTTTCAAATCCCCAACCATCCCCTCCAGGACTTGTAATAAAATGAAAAGCTAAAATAATGTGCACACGTGTAATGCATTGCAACTCTTGTGCATTGACATGTAAATACAGAAAAGCAAAATTTGTTACAGATTTTGTATCTTTAGTGTACATGGTGCAGTGATATTTTGATTTCTGTGTCATCCTAATTTCTATCCTACCATTTTATTAAATCATGTTGATCAAAACAACAGACTAGCTTTTGATAGGTTATCTGTGATGTACAATTTTCAATGCTATCAGGAAAGGTGTTATACAGAGAAGCTACTGGGGAGAAAATCTTTCTTGGGTGGATTTTTAGTAGTGAGAAGATAGCTGACTTTGGACTCAGCATCTTCAAGTCATGGCTTTCAAGCATAATGGCTCTAGATGATTCAGTAGCCTCTTCAGACAGTAATGTGCTTATGTAAACAGTGACTATATAATCACTTGTCTGCTAATTCCTCCTGAAGATCATCAATTATGTGTTCATCCGTCCTCTAGTCGTTGGCCTGCCGTATCCCTGAGTATCTGGAACGTCATTATGGTGGTGCTAACAAGCGTGATGATGAGGATGTGAAAACATATTACGATGTGATCCATATCTATTACAAGTACTAAGGATTTAAACACAGTACATCTGAGATTACATGCTGTACATTACCTGTCCCTGTGTGCCACGTTAGCAAAAGCATGTGGCTGTATAAGGCAGAATGGCAGAATTACCGGAGCTTGGACTCACTGAATACAAAGTAGTCATAGATTGCTCTCAGACATAGACTTGAGTTTTCCTCTTAGGGGTGTATTAATCTCTAGGCAAACTTCTTTTTTCTAAGTGGACTATATTTTCAAGGACAAGATTACCCCGAAATTTCTTAACTGTGGAAGATAAGTCAGTTAATTCCATGTGATTTTTCTTGAAGAAATGAAAGCATACTAATAGTGTTGGCCATGTTGTAGTCAAATACTTTAAATACGAATAAATTAGCAGGCAAAGCCATGTCCCTTATCATATAGAGCTAGCCTAATGTGTTGCCATAAAAGTTTCTTTAAATTAAATGTCTACATGCATGTTGGATTGTGTGACAAATTACAGAATCCATAATTTCTTTTATAGGCATACTAGATTCTTTTTCTTTAAGTTCTGTATTTTAATCACTAAGAATTATGGAGGACAGTGATGCAAAGCTCAGAGAAGAAATAGAAGCTGAATTGGATAAAATCAGCATTTCTTCCTTGGAAAATGATGAGGTTGAAAATGATTCAGAATCAGAAACTCAGAGTGACAGTAGTGATACTGTAAGTGTTTCCCATTTTTTCCCATTTTTTATTAGTTCATTGAAAATTTCATATAATGTATTCTGATCATCCTATTCTCAACTCTTCCTTTATGATCCTCCTCCTCTTCCCTTCTAACTCACCTATATGTCCATTATTTTAAACTCAAATTGAAAAATTGGTGCTGCCCATAATTGGATGTGTGGCCTTCTACTGGATAGAATGTGGTCCACCTACCAAGAGCCTTGCTCTTAAAGAAAACCCTCTCTCCTTCTTTAAGCAGCTGTCAGTTCCCAGTAGCACCTTAGCTAGGGGGTGAAACTTCATAGACACTTCTCTCGCTGCTGTACTTTGGTCTGGACTGCGCTTGCACACACCTTGTGCATATTGTCACAACTACTGTGAGCTCATGTGCAATTTCCCTTATGTGTGTGTAAAACACTGCTTAATTGTAGTTATCCTCTGCCACTGGCTCTTAAATCCTGTCTGCTCTCATTTCTGCAAAGATCCCTGAGCCTTTACAGGAATGTTTTACTTTTAACACTTTTTAACACTTTCCATTTGTCTTTCATTATTTAAAATAGTTTTTTTTTTATATAATGCATTCCTATTATGGTTTCCCTTCCCCTAATTCCATCATTATCCTCCCCCACTTCAACTCCTAGACAAATTCACTCCCTGTCTGTCTCTCCTTAGAAAACAAAGAAACATCTAAATAATAATAATAATAATGATAATAATAATATTAAATAAGATAAAAAAAAACAAGAAAAACTGCCAAAAAAGGTACATGAAACGTGTACACACACACACACACACTCTCTCTCTCTCTCTCTCTCTCTCTCTCACAATACAGGAATTCCATAAAATTGGAAAACATAATAAAAGCAAAGGACCTGTAAGGTTATTAAAAACAAAACAAAACAAACTAAAAAAGTCAACAAAACATTATGAGATGAAGAATCTCCAAACATGACATCTACTGGCGGGCATGGGGACTGCCCTTAGGAGAGGAGTGATTTGAATGCCCCAGAGAGACTACATTAGAGAGAACTCATTTTTCATTTGAGAGTGGTCATTCAGTAGAGATAGCTTTTGGGTTAGGAAAGCTTTTGGGTTGTCCACTAGTGCCGGGACCACCTTTGATGCAGACTCATGCAGGCCCTGTGCAATCATCCAGTCTCTGTGTGCATTGGCCCTGCTGTGTCTAGAAGGTCTTGTTTCCTTGGCATTACCCGCCCACCTCTGGCTTTTACAGTCTTTCCCACTCGTATTCTACAGGGTTTCCTGATCCATGAGTGGAAGGCTTTGCTTGAGACATCTCATTTATGACCGAGTGTTTTAAGATCTCTCACTCTGCATAATTTTTTAGCTTTCACTATCTGTACTTGTTCTCATTTACCACAGGAGGAAAGCCAATGATCTGTGAGTGTAGCAGAATATCTTAGGAGTAATTTTAGCAGAAAGGTAGTATTAGTTTTCTTCTAGGTCCCTGGTTTGTCTAGTCTCAGGTTCTTGGCTACCCAGTGTTGGGAGTGGATTGAACATTAAATCTATCAGGTACAGGTTGTCTACTCCCTAAGTTTTGTCCCACTACTTCCAAGATACTAACATATCTTGGAAGCAGGTCACAATTCGTAGTAAACAGTTTGTAGGAGCTTTCTGATGGAACTTTTACTGTCATATATACTATTATATCATTTGCAATTATACCACCACCCTCAGTTTTACACACTTTTAAGGACTGGATGTAGGGCTTCATCATACATGCTAGGTAGGTACTCTTAATAAGTGAGCCACAGACCTCCCCCAGAGATCCTACTTGTTATGATTATGTTAGTCATGTTTCTAGATGTTTATCTATTCCTTCCAGATTACCCAGCATGTTTGGATATAATTGTGTAAAATAGTTTCTTATGAACCTTTGTAAGTGTTGTCTTATTATTCTAGATAAGGGTTCAAGTTCTATATTGGATAGGCCTGGAGTGAGTGGAAATTTTGTCTTGTTCCTGATTTTAGTAGAAATGCTGTTTCTCTCAATTTTGGTTGATGCAGGCTGTGGGCTTGCCATAAGTTACCTCTATTACACTGAGTTATTTTTCTTGTATTACTAGTCTCTCCAGGACTTTTAACATGAAGGGCTATTAGATTTTGTCAAAGACCCTTCTGTATCTAATAAGATGATCTTGTGGTTTTTTTCTTTTAGTTTGTTTATTTGGTTTTTTACATTTATTGACTTACATATGTTGAACCATCGCTGCATTCTGGGACAAATCCTGCTTGATCATGGTGGATGATTCTTTTGATGTGTTCTTGGATTTGGGTTGCAAGTATTTTAATTGATAAATTGTCCATCTATGTTCATATGATAAGTTGGATAGAAATCATTTTCTTTGTTGGGTCTTGATGTGGTTTGGGAATCAGGGTAATTGTGGCCTTGTAAAATGAACTTGCCTCTTCTGTTTCTATTTTTTGGAATAATTCGAAGAGTATTGGCATTAATTCTTCGGTGAACATCTAGCATAATTCTGTGATAAGGCCATCTAGCCTCAGACTTTTTGTCATTATTGTTTGTAGACTTTTAGTTACAACTTTTATTTCAGTAGGATTTATATGATGTTTAAATTGCTTGTCTGATCGTGATTTAACTTTGGTAGGTGGTGTATTTCAAGAAAATTACCACTTTCTTATCGATTTTCCAGTTTGTTAGCATACAGGTTTTTAAAGCAAGTCCTTATGAATCTCTAGATTTCCTGAGGGTCTGTAGTCATGTCCCATGTCTCTGATTTTGCTACTATGGATCTTCTTTCCCTGATTTTTATTTAATTTGGCTATAGGTTTGTCGATCAGAATGCTTTAAACTAATCAGAAGAGATATGTAAAGACATATCAAAGGGGAACCTATAAAGAAGATAATACAATTCTTAACATCCATGTACCATACATAAGGGCACCCAAGTTCATATAAGAAAAACCACCATAACTGTGATTACATTTTGAGCCTCACACACTGATATTGGGAAACTTTAATATCTCAGTTTCATCAATAGACAGGGTCTCCTGACAAAACAAAACAGAACCTCTGGAGCTACCTGACATTTCAAGTGAACCTAGTAGATATTTGTAGAACATTTCAATCAACCACAAATGAATACACCTTCTCAACAGTTCATTAGCTTTCTACAAAACTGATCACATATTTAACACAAAGGAAGTCTCAACAGATACAAGCAAATTGAATAACATCCTGCATCTTGTCTGATCACCACAGATTAAAAATGAATATCAACAACAGAAACAAAAGAAAGCTTACAAGCTCATTAAAACTGACCAACTTATTAATGAATGAAAATTTGTCAAGAAAGAAATGAGATTATAATTTAATGAAAATGAAAACACAACATACCCAAACTAAGGGGACACAAAAGCAATTCTAAGAGCCTAGTTCATAGCACTGATTGTCTATATATAAATAACTTAATGGCACACCTGAAAGCTGTAGAACAAAAAAGAAGAAATAATACCCCAATGGAATAGATGTCAAGAAATAGTTAAACTTGGGACTTAAGTCAATAACATAGCAACAAATAGAAAATGTAAGGAATCAATCAAACTTTTGAGCCTTTTAATGAAAGTAGGTTTTTTAGAAAGAATTTTACTTCTCTGTGTTTTTCATGTGTATCACTATCTCTTAGGATAACAGGAATAAGTAATTCTCTTTGGTTGATATTTACATACAAAACCTTTAAAATAAAGATTACCTATGATTCCCTTTCTGCTCCATGCCTTATTTTCACAGAAAACTTACAGTGTGAAGTTCAAATATAGTTCTGCTTCTCTACTCCACCCCTGTAATTGGTCTTGAACTCATGGCTTTGCCCATTTTAAGACAGAGTGCTACCATTGTGCTGTACCTTTAGACTTTCTGCTTCTCTCTCTATTTATGATTTTTTCACGAATGTATTACTTTAAAAATAAATTTAACAATATCCTGAATTTTGTACAATTAATTTAAGGAGAGAAAATGCTAGAGTATTACATACAAGAAAAGATAGGTTTTATATTACTGATGGTTCACATACAAAGACAGAATAAAACTCTCAGGCTTACCCTCTGGCTTAGGATGCCATAAAATTATTTGCAGAATTCAAATATCTCTTCTTATAAGGAATATAAATTAGATATTAACTCAAGATGAAACATTCAAGGATTGAAGATTATCTTTTCTAGGATATGCAAAAAACATTGCTGTTTATTTGTGCTCAAAATTCTTCTTAACCAGGAAGAAGCTATCACAGTAAAAGACAGAGATGAAAAGAGGAGAGTGGGTACTTTTGTCAAGACAAGTTTAATACAATGTCATAGATTTTTGTTTGGTTTTCTGTCGTGGTAAAGGGAAAGTTAACTGTATGAACTGGTTGTTATTCATTGTTAATGCTAGCAATGCATTTCATTAGTTATGATAAAGGCAAATTGCTGTTTACTTAACTCATGGGAACCCAACATGACAGAAAGCTTTATTTGAACCCATGGTATTTAGCCTGTGATCTTCTGTATCAAGAGTAGGTGTATAGATTCAGTCACTCAGTCATTCTGTGCTTTATCTCCCACAAGGAAGGTTTTCTACTATTGTAGAGAGTTATTGATGGCTTTGGCATTGCTATTAAAATATATTTAAGTGTTCAAAATATTTTCATGAATAACATGTTTTGCATTATACTTTTTAACAATAATTGGTATTTACAGAGGAATGAACTTCATTTGTTTATGTAGTATAATAATATCACTCTCTTTAGGTATTTAGCAAATTTGGAAATTTTTTATGTAGGCTTTTTTGATAGATGTTCTATAATGTTGTATAAATTCAGCTTAACTTGATAATTACATATTAATAATGTTGTAAAACATTTCAGTTTAATTTATATTTCATAATAAACAAAATAATATCAACAGAATATCAAGAACTAATGAAGTCATTGGAAGCATAGTACCTCAAATAAAAATGAAAGTGGTAATGAGGTAACCTTCTTCTTTTGTTGTCTTAGAATTTTCTAGGAACATATAGCTGCCTGAAAATAGAAAGAAAAATTAAGACAAATATATTTGCAAGAAATAGATCCATTATTTGGAGGCACTTTTACCTATTTACATAGTTCGCTCAAAATTTTAGTGTGAAATGAATAATTGCACTATTTGATATACAACTCTTGGTAATCCCTCTCATACTTCTGTTACTCAAATTTTAGGATTTAGTTGAATTGCCAGAGTCAGTTCTACACTGTATCAGCATCATAAAGAAGAAGAGCAAGACTGCTGAAGAGCTCTTTCTTCAGGACTTAGAGGATACTGATGTCTTCAGTGAGTACGCAGAATCATACAATGAGATCCAGGTTTCCAGCTTTCTTAAGCTATCAGTGATGCTGGTGGGAACTGTGTGGATGATCAGCGATGCTGGTGTGAACTATGTTGATGATCAATGGTGGCGGTGTGCACTATGGTGATGATCAGTGTTGATGACTGGTGATGCTGATGTGTACTATGGTGATGATCAGTGGTGGTAGTGTGAACTGTGTTGATGATCAATGATAGTGGTTGAATTGCATTGATGATCAGGAATGCTGGTGTGAACTATGTTGATTAAGTTGTGTTTGCACCAATCCTGTTTCTGTAAGAAACCCTTTACCTATAATCATGTTAAGAAACTCCAGTTATCTTGTTGGTTGACCATGTTTGACTTTGGCAGTTTCTTTTTGGTGTGTGGTCAGTTCCTTGTCTGGTGTGGGTAGAGGTTCATTAATTCCTGTCTCTCCAGGAATTGACTATTACTGTATTGTCAAGCAAGAATATATGCATAGAAAATAAAACTCATTCTAGAATATGAAAATTGTTAACAACATAGAGTGCTTTAGAAGTTTACATTTATTTTACAAATAATGATAAATTTCTTGCACCAATCATTTTAATAAATTTCTATTCTATGAAGTATTACTGATTATGCTGGTAGAAATTAAGATAAAGAGTAATGAAAAGGTTTGAGGTTTTGACATGTACTCTAATATTTGAAATCATAGTTATTTTCCCTTTTTCTAGGTTGTAGTTATGGTACAGTTTCTAACAGTCATATGAGTTTGAGGACTGGATCATCAGCTGAATCAAAAGCAAATTCTCAGCAGTTAATGAAGGTTTGCATTTAACATCCCAATGAAAGTATTCACTATCGTAGTTAAGGATTTGTTATTTTTCCTTACATACGAAGTTAGCTTATTGACTTATTTTAAGCAAATTATATTTGGTTTCATGGTATCCTCTGGCATATTACATAAAACTATACAAATTTCAATCATTAAAATAGTGATTTGTACCATAAGTATTTGGGAATTAAATGTTCATATACACAGGACACTAAAATAGCGATGCATTTATCATTTTTGAAGCAAACATGAATATACTATAGTGCTTATTGGTTTTCATGTGGAAAATGTACTTTCAGGGAAATACTTTAAATACTTCAGAGAATATTCAAGAGTAGAAGATTTTTTATTACTTTTGGGAAATAACACAAAAGAAAATTCCTAGAAAAATAAAAGTAAAGTCTAGCATTTTATAGGTTGAAACCTCCCAAATGTGTTCTGAAGAATGTATTTGAAAGTTTTTCTTCTTAGACTCAAATTATAATGATCTATTCTAAAACTGTTCCTACTTTGTAAGAATTGGAACATAGCTTTAAAAATATTTTGTTTACTTTTTACTTTTTTTGTTAACACAGATTTGAAATGTTAATTTTGAATTTTGTTTCTTCATTGCAGATATCCTGTATATTTTAAACTACAGTGAATATTTAGTTACATAATACTTAGTCAAAGTTATGTGAATAATTCAGGTTTAAGCAGATAATGTTTATCTTTGTATTACACTGAATATATTAATAGCCTGTGTACATGAACTATAACAGTAGATATAATAAAGTTAAAAATTCATCAGGAATCAAGCTAGACATATTTTGAAGTGATTATTAAGCTTATTAATTGACTATTATAGATTAATACTGATGAGTTAGTTTGTAAAACCTTAAGAGGATAAATATGTTTATAAAGAAAATAACTATTAATGTTTTTTAAAAGGTCTACAGTAAACCAAATTCTCAGTATGTGTATTTATGAATTTTTTCAGTAATTTGATTACCATAATGGCACCGAGATAGTGATGAGTGGACACATCAGTGAATAGTATATTCTTCCCTGTCTTTATGTTAAATTTATGAAAAGTAATTTTATTTCCATGATTAAAAATTTAGAATTGGAAGTATTAATCTAAACTAGACTAAAAGGCTTCTTGGCAATTTTTTAACTTTAGTTCTTTACATCCTAATCCCAGTTCCTCCTTCCTCCTTCCTCCTCCCTCTCCCAGTCTCCCTTCGTTCTCCCATCCCACCCCCACTGCTCAGAGAGGGTAAGGCTTCTCCTAGTTTTATCTAGTCTTTCTTCAACAATTAAATAATAAAGATACTATTTTAACCTACCAGATATTATCTGTAATAGAAAAGGAAGAATTTGTGAGAAGTCTAACTCATTCTGCCAGGTCCGATTCTGTCCCTGAGCCTGTTGCTCTTGACACAGCCATGGATGAATATGCTTTACCAGGTGGGCAATAGTCCCGGTTATATGTTCAAAAATATTTTTCCTTACATATTATTTTTCTTATTTTACATATTGATCCAACTTCCCTCTCCCTCCCTCCCTCTCTTCCTCCCTCCCATACCCCCTGACCCCCCCTACCATCCACCCACCCACCCCCACTCCACAGAGAGGTGATGCCTTCCAGGAGGGGTCAACAAAACCTGTCAAGTCATTTGGAGTAGGGACTAGGCCCTCTCTCCTGTCTCTAGGCTAAGGGAGTATCCCTCCATGGGGAATGTGTTCCCAAAGTCCTTTTGTGCACCAGGGATGCATCCTGGTTCCACTGTCAGAGGTCCCTTAGACTGCCCAGCCCTTCTAATTGAGACACATGTTCAGGGGGTCTGAGATGTATGATGTATCAATGTGCATTGAAAGTGTTTCTTTGTGGCACTTGTAAATACAGTTACAAACATTTTTAAAAACTGAAAGTCATTATTCCTCAATAAAATTCTTGCAAGCTGAATTCAAGAACACACCAAAAAGACATGGGGTGAGTTGGAAGATAGATGGGTAGGGATGGAAATGATATGACATTTTTAGTTGGTTTTTGAAAGACATTCACCATTGTGTTGGCTTCATTCCAGGGAGGCAGGTATGGTTTTACACATGTAAATCAATATACATAAATCAGTATATAAGTGAACTCAGGGACAGAAATCATATCATCATTTCAATCGATGCTAAAAGGATTTTTGAAAGATTCCAACATCCCTTCATAATAAATGCTGTTTTGAAACTAGAGAAGGAAGGAATTTGTCTGAACATGATAAAAGCTGTCTATGACAAACTGATAGCATCATCTTGTTAAATAGAGAAAAATTGAGACATTCCCATTAATATCATAACAAGTCCAAGTATCTCAGTTGACCCCCCCCCCTTTTTCGATATGGTTCTTGAAGTCCTAACTAGATCAATAAGACAAAGAAAATACAAGGAACATAAGTAGGAAAAAATAAGTCAAAATATCTCTACTTGCAGAATACATGATTCTATACACAGAGGCCCCAAAGACTGCGCCAGAATTCTTCTAGAGCTGATAATCGTATTCAGCAAAGTGACAGGCTATGAAATTAACATGTTCAAATCAACATCCTCCCCAGATACTAATACAGGCAAAGAAGCAATGGCAATGAAGGAAATAATCCCATTCACCCATTCACCATATGTCTTAGTTAAGGTTCCTATTATTACAATGAAACACCATGCCAAAAACAAGTTGGGGAGGAAAGGGTTTATTTGAGTTAAGTTTCCTAATCACTATTCGCCACTGAAGGAAGTCAGGACAGGAACCCAGACAGGGCAGGAACCTGGAGGCAGGAGCTGATGCTGAGGCCATGGAGGATACTGTTTACTGGCTTGCTCTCCCATACCTTCCTCAGGCTGATTTCTTAAAGAACCCAGAACTACAGGGCTGGCCCTACTCAGAATGGGCTGGACTCTCCCATATGAATCACTAATTCAAAAGATGCCCTACAGACTTGCCCACATCCTGATCTTACAGGTGGCGCATTTCCTCAATTTATTTCCTTCTCTCAGATGACTTTAGCTTGCGTCAAGTTGACATAAAATTAGCCAGCACACTATAAATGACAAGTTTAAATACATAAAATGAAATAAAAACACTGAAGAAAGAAATTGAAGAAGACACCAGGAGATAGAAAGATCTCCCATGTACGTAGTAGGTAATAATAATGTGAAAATGCCCATAATAATTAACAGATTCACTGTTTAATATTTTAATTTTAATATGGAAACACAAAAAACATTAACCAAAACAATTCTGAACAATGTCTCTTAACTGTATCACTAACTCTATGTGTGCATGGCATACACACACACACACACACACACACACACACACACACACACAACTATTATAAATTTTAGGGAATACTTTAAGGAAAGTTCTTTGACTTCTTTATTGACAGTAATGGAATTCCCAGAAGAGATCACACATGTGCAAAGTTGTATGTCTGATGACATCCATTTACATTGCAAACTGTATATTCTTTTGCTTTGGCATTAGGCTTTTATGGTGTGTTTATATAGTAAAAATAGATCAGCGTGATAGGTTTGATCTCAAGAATAATACTTTTGTCCCTCTGAATCAATGCAGATGATGCTGATTTGAGTTTTGGATACTTTGAAGTAGAAGAAAGATGTAGAAAGTCTTTTGAAGCTTGGCAGGACAAACAGAAAGAACTCGAAGAAAAAGATAAAGAAACTCTTGAAGCTCAGAGTGATATAGAAAAACAGAAATTTCAAGAAGACGATGAAAAGAGACATTGCTGGATAAAACAGTTTGAAGTTGAAAAGGAAAAGTTAGAGACCCTTCAGAAGGTCTGGTGTTTTTCCACTCTTCCTAAGAGCATAGCTACCTCTGAAAGGCACTGATATCTGGACTGTGATACCAGTGGAGGAGGTTCCCATGACTTGTAATCACTCTTGATGAGAAAATGCCTGATTGTGGATTGAGGATTTAATGCTCAGATTAGTTTGCATAAATTCCTTTACAGTTTCAGATGTGAACTTTCGATGTTGGAGGCCTCTGGGGTTTGTAGAATTTCAAAGCCTACATAATCTGAAATTTGTGACATAATCTATTACTCTTTCATGCCTTTTCAATAACAGGAAAAGACAATTCCTTTAATTATTTAATATGTTCTTTTATTGTCTGATATATGACACCTTATATAAGACATATTAAGTCCAAGTAGTTCAGTAACTTAGGTGACATTCTCTGTCTTGTGTTGTAGAATTTCAATCCATTTAGACAATGACTTTTGGGGCAGGTTTTTTGTTTGTTTGTTTGTTTGTTTGTTTTCCTTTTCTTCTGCACAATACTTGATAGTTGTTCTTATTATAAATAGTTTTGTGTTAGGTTTAGAACCTTCTTATTTAGAAAAAAAAGAGGTAAGCATTGTGGGACTTTGATCCATTTAGCCAGTGGCTTTTGGGCAGCAGGCCCTAGGGCGTGGTCTTTGTCTGTGTACATAACAACTTATGAACTGAGGGAAAAGGGTGTCTTGCTGTCTTGTTCTCTCTCTAGTTCCACACATTTAGCAACTCTTCATCCATGTCTACTTAGATTTAGGGCTGCCATTCTATGATGCACAGCCCAACTTATGTTCTTTTCCTCCTGTATCGCCTCTTCTACTTTATTATTTGATGTCACCCATAGATGTCACTGATCAATACCAGCCTGTATAAAAACATAAAGCTGAGTTTGTAACTCTTCTATTGACAACCCCATACATTTGTAGCATCTAAAGCTGTTTCCATTGTGTTTTTTTTTCCGTGCGTTGGGTTCCTCCAGTGTTTCCAGTTAAATGAACTAAAAACTGGTGTGAAACTCCTTTAGCTCTTTTTCTACCCTTTAATAATTTACATTGTCCATCTTTGTGTTCATATTTCTTATTGCCACTTTGAAGTAGTCAAGCTTTGCTAGTGACTGACAATACTTACTCTGCTTTCTAATTCATCTCCTACCTTTAGGTCTACTTAGTCTTCCAATTCATCCATCCAATTGCCATCAAAGGACTATTTTTTAATGTTAATTTCAAGTTTACACCCTGTGGGAAGAGCCCACAGCTAATATAATGCTCAAAGAACATTCTCATTTTTATTTATTTTTCTTTTATTGAAAATAGTTTTTTTTTCATTCAGTATCTTCTGGTTATGATTTCTCCTCCTCCACCTCCTCCTAGTTCCTCCCCACCTCCCTTACCATCTAGCTCCATACCTTTCTGTCTCTCATTAGAAAATAAGCAGACATACAAAAGTAATAATAAAATAAAATTAGATGAAATAAAACCCAGCAAATTAGAATAAGACAAAACAACCAAACAATAAAAAGAGCCAAAGAAAAGGCCCAAGAAATGCATATTGACTCACACATGATCACACACACAGGAATCCCATAAAAACATAGAACTGAAACCATAGTACATATACAAAGGAAGAATACTTTTACTCCTATTTATTATTATTATTATAAAATTACTAAATATTTAGTAAAAACCCTGACTTAATGTTTTAAGACAAAGAACCTCCAGAGATGTCTTTGAGTTCATTTTGTTACTACCACTGCTTGTGATGTTAGGAGTGGTTTGTTTTGTCCATGAGAGTCCCTTGGAGAAAAATAATTTTCTCTTTTCTTTTTCAGTCTTTTTTCTTTCTTTCTTTTTTCTTTTCCTTTTTTTTTTTGGTTTTTGTTTGTTTGTTTTTCAAGATAGGGTTTCTCTGTATTGCTTTGGAGCCTGACCTGCAACTCACTCTGTAGACCAGGCTGGCCTCGAACTCACAGAGTTCTGCCTGCCTCTGTCTCCCAAGCACTGGATTAAAGGCGTGCACCACCACCGCCTGTCTTAAAAACAAATTTTTATTTCCAAGTATGTATCAATTGGAGTTAGCTTCTGGGTCAGGGATGGGGGCTTGTATCCACCTCTCTGTGCATGGACACCCCCATATGGAGCAGACCCCTGCAGGCCCTCTGTATGTTAGTCTGTTAATTCACAAGTGCTTTTGTGTCTAGAAGGCCTTGACTTCTTGGTGTTCTTCACTCCCTCTTCTTTTATAATTGTTCCTCTTCCCTTTCTGCAGGGTTCTTTGAGCCCAGAGAGGGGGGTTTGATGGAGACATCCTTTTAAGGGCTGAGTGTTTCAAGGTGTCTCACTTTATGGATTTGAAATGGCCCTGTAGGAATAGGCTTTTCTGATGATAGATGAGCAGGACACATATCAATTGAGTATAGCAGAATGTAGTTAAAAATCATTCTTTGCTAAGGTCATTTAGTAGTACAGCATTGTTTGATTTCTTCTAGGTACCTGGCATATCTAGTCTCAGGATGTGACCCATACCCAAGCAGCATCGGGTATGGGTTCCATCTAATGGAGTGAACCTCAGCCCAAACCAGATATTGGTTGGTTACACCCGTAAGCTTTGTGCCACTACTGCACTAGTGGATAACACAGACAGGTCACTGTTGTAGATCAAAGGGTTTGTAGTTGGGTTGCTGTTTACCTTTCTTCTTTGGTATTGTTCAGAGTACCTTCTAGTATGATTGTGAACAGTAGTCTGTGAATACTCTAGGTAGGCACCAGCCATCCTTCTCTATGTTCAGGCATCGTCTTCAGCATCAGATTATGGAGAGCTACCAACAGCCTGAAGTATAGCCTAAGTTGTTTGGGAATTCATGATTCAGTAGCCCATTTCTGGAAATGGAAGCTTCATTTGTTGATTAGAGATGTCCAGTTGGGGATCTGTATCTCCCCATTATTTAGTGATTTTATTTAACTGACATCCATGCGTGTATATATATAAGGAATCTTCTACTCTATTAAGGTACCATACCACCCATCAAATGGCCTAAATTTTAGACATCACTTCACATATTTTCTCTTTTACTCTCTCATCCTTTCTACTCTTGTTAGATCATCTATTACAGTCTGCAGCATCATTCATCCATAACTATTTTATTTCCCCTTCCTAGAGAGATCTATTCCTGCTGCCTAGTCTCTTACTCTATATGTATCTAGCTCCATCCACTTATCTGTGGATTTCATGATTTTATTTTCATAACAGGTGATTAACACTCCATTGTATAAATATACCACTTTTTCTTTATCCATTAAACCATTGACATACATCTAAGCTGTTTCCAATTTCGGACTCTTATGCATGGTGAAGTAATGAACATGGTTATACAATGAGCAACAAGTTTGTCTCTGTGGTAGGATGAAGTGCTCTTGAGGTATGTGTCCAAAAATTGTATAACTGGACCTTGAGGTAGTTCAACTCACACTGATTGGCATAATGTCTGTACGAGTTTGCACACCCACAATTGATGGCATAATATTCCTCTTACTCCACATCCTTGTCAGGATGGGATGCCATGTGTTTTATTGATATGGCCATTCTGAGTGTTCTTAAGATGAAATCTCAAAGTAGCTATGATTCCCTTTTCCCAGATGACTAAAGATGTTGGACATTACTTTAAATGCTTCTCAGCCATTTTATTCTCCTCTCATGTGTATTTTCTCATTGGATATATACCCAATTTTTAACTGGGTTATTTTCTTGGTATAGTTTTTGAGTTCTTTACATATTTTGGATGTTAGCTCTTTATCAGATGAGTCATTGTTAAAAATCTTTCCCCTTATAGCTTGCTACTTTGGATAACAGTGTCCTTTGCCATACAGAAGCTTTACAGTTTCATGAGGTCCCATTTATTAAATGTGTTCATAGTTCCTGTGCTGACTGTCTTCTCTTCAGAAGGCCTTTTCCTGTGCCAGTGATTTCAAGGGTCTTCCTTCACATTCTCTTCTGTCAGACTCAATATATTTGGCCTTAGGCTTAGGTCTTTCATCCATCTGGAGTTGATTTTTGTGCACGGTGATATATGTGGATTTATTTGCATTCTTCCACGAACAGTCATCCACTTTGAATGATAGGTTGAAAATGATCTTTTATTTTCCCCAACATGTATTTCTGGCTTCTTTAACAAAAATTGCTGTGTGTATATTTGTGTCCTGATCTTCAATGTGTTTCCACTGAAATCACGTCTGTTTTTGTGCATTTACCATGATATTTTTTTATTACGATAGCTCTGTAGTCTGTCATACAATTTGAGAGGGTGAATAGTGATAACTTCAACAGTTCTTTTTATCATTTAGGGGTATTTTAGTTATAACTGGGGATGCAGGGAGATTTTAAAGTTTAATTATTGTTTATAAATCTGTTGAATGAATCTGATATAATGAATATGTTTTTAATATTTGAATATAATAATATTCTGATGTTATTCTACATACAGCAAGACCAGGACAAAATGAATGATGTACTTCATGAAGAAGAGAAAATATGGAAAGAAAAATATAGAGAGCATGAGGTATATATTTGTTGTTTTGCATTCATATATTGTTATTCTCCATCTGAACTAAATTATTGTGCTTTTTAAAATAATAAGCATATTAAGATACTGTAACCTATATGATATGGAATTTAATTTATTTCAACCTTAGACATCTGTTAATATTAAAAACTCTCAGCAAAAGGGATTGTATCTTTTTAAGATTGAAATTCTATGTTTTAAAAGTAAGTATAGTATTAAGAACATTCCATAATATTTGAAGATTTGAACAAACAATTCTGTCCTTTGATACAATTATTTGAGTGTGTTAAGGTAATATAGTTATCATAAATATTTCAGTTTTTTTGTTCCCATATTTTTATATAAACTTACTTAAATGTTTACAAACATAAAATAGATAAAATTTTCCATTAAATCTCCAATATAGAGTACATAAGTTACTATTATCCAATTGCACATTGCTTCATTTTTTTCTTCTTTTTTTACTTTTTCTTATTTTATTTTTTATTTATTTATTTATTTTATATAACCAAGTCCATTTAAATGAAAACAAACATTTATAGACAATATTTGGGAATTTGGGCGTCATTCTTTCCAAACTACTTCCTGCTAGTAAGGGGCGCTGTTATGGGGGATTCTAAGAAGATGCAGAAATCCTGGCTGTCGTCTGTAAGGCTGCTTTGTCCAGCTGTTTTGAATGTAGGATCACCTGGTACACTGTTTCAGGCGGTCTGGCTTGATCAAACCACATTAGTCTGGAAGGAATGCACACCTTTTCATTTTCTGTGGAAACAAAAATAGAAATCCTTTTCCCCAGTAACTTGTCCTTGAACTTAAATTTTGTAGTCAAAGCATTTTTTTTAATTTAATTTATTATTTTAAATGTCGATCCCAGTTCCCTCTCCCTCCCTCCCTCCCTCCTACCCTTCCTCCCTTCCTCTCTTCCTCCTTCTCTCCCTCCCTCCCTCCCTTTTACCCTCTCTGCCCTCTCACATGCACCCTAACCACCCTCCCCTCCCCTCCCCCACCCCAATTCCATATGTAGGGGAATGCCATCAGTTGGGGTCATGTAGATCTGACAGGTCATGTGAAGTAGGGACTAGGGCTTCTCTCCTGGGGGATATGTTCGCAAAGTCTTTTTGTGCACCAGGGATACATCCTGGCTCCACTGTCTGAGGTCCCTTAGACTGCTCAGTTCTTCTGGCTGAGACCCATATTCAGGGGGGCCTGAGTCAGTCCCATGCTGGCTTCCCAGCTATTAGTCTGGCGGCCTGTTAGCTCCTCCTTGCTCAGGTCAGCTGTCTGTATGTGTTTCTGCAGCCTGGTCATGTCCTCTCCATCTGCATCTGGGTTCTAGTTTGACTCAGTGTTTATGTATGGGTGTTTGCTCCTGTTTCCAACAGGCATTAGATGAGGGCTCCATGGATAAGTTAGTTGTTGATCTCACTCTCCGGGAAGGGCATTTATGGTAGCCTTTCCACGGATGCTCAAATTGTTAGTTGGCAGCAGTCCTGTAGTTCTCTAGACCTTTCTTTGTGTTCAGTTTTATCTTCAAACCAATATTGGCTCCCTGTTTTATGTTCTCTCTCTTTCTCTCTCTCTCTCTCTCTCTCTCTCTCTCTCTCTCTCTCTCTCTCTCTCTCTCTTTCTCACCTGTCTTCTATTCCTAACCAGGCTCAATCTTCCTGGTCGCACGTGTTTTCTTTTCCTCCCCCTTGTTTTCTCCTACTTCTCTCTCCATTCGCTGCCCCCACCCCACATCCCCTGTGCTCTGGGGACTTGTCCCTTCCCGGTTCTGTGAGGGACTTTATATGAATCTCGTAGAATACACCTTGTATCCTAGTTCCTCTGGTGGTGTGAATTATAGGCTGGTGATCTTTTGATCTAGGTCTAAAATCCATATATGAGTGAGTACATACTATGTTCCTCTTTTTGTGACTGGGTTACCTTATTCAGGATGGTTTCTTCATCCACTTGCCTGCGAATTTCAAGATACCATTATTTTTTCTGCAGAGTAGTATTCCATTGTGTAGATGTGCCACATCTTTATTATCCATTCTTCAATTGAGGGGCATCTAGGTTGCTTCCAGGTTCTTGCTATTACAAATAGTGCTGCTATGAACATAGTTGAACAGATGTCTTTGTTGCATGGATGTGGATCATTTGGGTATACGCCTAAGAGGGGGATTGCCGGGTCCTGTGGTAAACTAATTCCCATTTTCCTGAGGACCCGCCATACTGATCTCCAAAATGGCTGTATGAGTTTGCACTCCCACCAGCAGTGGAGGAGTGTTCCCATTTCTCCACATCCTCTCCAACATGAGTCATCATTGGTGTTTCTAATTTTAGCCATTCTGGCAGGAGTAAGATGGTATCTCAAAGTTGTTTTTATTTGTATTTCCCTGATAGCTAAGGATGTGGAGCACTTTCTTAAGTGTCTTTCAGCCTTTTTGATTTCCTCTATTGAGAATTCTTTCTTCAGTTCTGTACCCCATTTTTTAAAAGGGTTATTTGGTGTTTTGTTGAATATTTTCTTGAGTTCTTTATATATTTTGGAAATCAGCCCTTTGTTGGATATAGGATTGGTGAAAATCTTTTTTTGTTTTTAAGATTTATATATTATTTATATAGTATTCTGCCTGCATTTAAGCCTGCAGACCAGAAGAGGGCACCAGCTCTCAATACAGGTGGTTGTGAGTCTATGTGTGGTTGATGGGAATTGAACTCTGGACCTGTGGAAGAGCAATCAGTGCTCTTAACTTCTGAACCATCTCTCTAGCCCACTGTCTTTCTTTATATTACTTTTTTTTAATTTGTATTTTGAATCTTCCCTTTATACTCTCCTGAAATTGTAGGTTTATACTATATGTGTTTAAATGTCAAAATCACCAGACATGTAAATAGAAAAATTCATTTGAGTAAAAAATGGAAAATGCAAAGTGGACATGCCATCCAAACGTTTGATAAGATGGATCCATTAAAATAACCAGAATTCTCTACCAGTAGCTGAACAATTACACAGATAATGTATAAAGGAAACTTATAATCTATCACAAAGTAGTAAGTGCATAGTCTATGAAAATTCAATGTGAACATGAAAAATTCATGAATGAGTATGACATTTTTCTGTGTCAGAAAAAAATCAGTTTTGAGTAGCAAATTTTCCCAATCTTTACCCAGTATAAAATATTTTTATTTTAATTTTTACTTTGAAAAATCCATGCCTTTTTCTCTTGACTCTTGACAGTTCAATGATATGATTTGATTGCAAATTTATTTATTTCAACAGCTGCAAATTTTATGCTTAATCCACATATTCTTTTGAAGCTGCAAGATTGTTCACATTATGTATTGGTCTGTACATATTTAGCCATTTTTACATATGTGTTCAACATTTTGTTAATTGTTTATATGTGAAAAAAGCAGAGAAGAATGCCTGCTTCCATGGAGATTTCTGTGCTTTGGATATCTGTGTAAGTCTATCTCGTGTGTTGAGAGAGGGGGTGTAGAGTTAACTCTGCTGTTTTTCCTATACCTGTATTTGTATTAGTATACACAATTTTGTATTTGTATACAAAAATAATTTAATTTGTATTAGTTTTAGCTCTTCAGTTTTTTCGAGTATTTATTCTGGGATGCCTGTTGGTCTAATATATGGGTGTATGTGTGTGTGTGTGTATCTGTTTTCTTCCTTATAAGTATTTCATAGCTTTTTGTTTTGAGAAAACTACCTTTTAGAAAAGTTTTTCAACCACCCAGCCATTCAGCCATTCATTTTCTTCCTTTTTTTTTTTTTTTGTTTGTTTATTTCAGTGGAAAATCAGTCTAGTGTGTGTGTGTGTGTGTGTGTATATTTTAAGGTTGTAGTCATGTTGTGAATGTAAGCCAGTTTGTAACTTAATCTTCCTACTTGCTGAATTTCCCTGCCTGCTAATATTCTTTCAATGTTTGCTGAATTATTTCTGTCTGTTTACTGATGTTTTAGCCCCTGTTACTACAGCGTCCATGTCAGGAAGTTTGAGGCCCTCTCTCTTTCATGGACTTTGATCTGTTTTCCCTTTCTGTTTCCTGTGTCATCTTGATTTCAAATGCTCTTTCTGCCTGCAGACAATTCCTTGTTATCTCATTGGCTCATAACTGAAGAGAGTATTACCAACTTCCCAGTATGACCCAAATCTTCCAAGCACTTACACAACAAATTTCCCAAGGAACCGGAGGGATGGCTCAGCGGTTAAAATATAAATTTCCCATAAAATAGGTGACCAGTTTATCTCAGCAAATTTTATAGCAATTTGACTCTAGATTTAGGTTTTGTGTTATTTTCATCCATTTATAAAATCACTGACTTAGCCAATGTTCATGGCTCTTCGTCTTACTTTATTTTAGGAACTCATTAGAAACTTGAATTTACAAATGGAGGAAGAAAGAGCAAGATTAAGTGAGCTACAGGAAAAAGAAAAGGCACGCTTGCTAACACTGCAGCAAAATGCAGCTGTAAAAATCCAAGCTAAATATAGAGCATTTGTAACTTCCCGAAAATACAGCCCTATCATAAGAGAGCAAATAGAAAAGAAGAAAAGGAAAGCACAGGAGTGGAAAGAGAAGGAAGCAAAGATCCGACAAATGGAGGAAGAGAGAAGAAGAAGAATGGAAGAGGAGCGGAGGATTGAGGAGGGGAGAAGGAAGAAGATGTTGGAGGAAAAGAGGAGGCGGGAAAGGGAATACGAAGAGAAAAAGAGCATCCTGAGACAAGAGCGAGAGGAGCAACGAAACAAGGAAAAGATGAGACCCAGGGAAGATGCCCGCCAACCGCTGATCATTACCTGTGCTTTAGAGAAAGGGGAAGGTCGTGCCAAGCAGCCAGCTGTTGCAAATGTGTCCAAGAATAAGGATGCTATAGACAAAGAGTTAGCGGACACCAACTCAAAGAAGCAAGAAAATGCTTGTCTAGTTCAGCAATCAAACAAGAGAGAAAATGTCCGTAAACAGCTTACACTGAGAGAGTCAACAGGGGTAAAACTAAAACCAAGCCAGGCCATTTTGGCCGAATTAAAAATGAATGAAAACTTACCAAAATTAAAAATGAAAGAAAAAACCGAAAACGTACCAAAATTAAACGTGAATGAAAAAAGTGAGACCTCACCAAAGAAACAATGTTCAGAAGAACTGGCTAACCAAGAAATTGACTTAGAAAATATAGACCAAAAAAATGAACTGAAAAACTCAGACGTAAAGGAAAATGTCAGTACACAGTGCCTGGGCCAGGAACTAAAGTCGCAGACTCAAAAAGAGGACAGTGTGGAGCATGCCACACAGGAGAACATGGGCCAGGAGACCCAAATAATGTTTGCATACAAACCGGAAATGAATGAAGCGGACAGTAATGGAACACAGGAAGCCATCAAAGAGAGACTGGCTGAAAAGATAGAAAAAATGGACATAACAGAGCAAGGCGAATCACTGTGTGAGAATGGTCCTTCAACTACTCCCATGCAAAAAGACCTACTATCAGAAAATCCCGAACCTGTAGAAAGAAATGTAACGCTAGGAGACAAAGAGCTTGATTTGGAATCAAAAAGAGTTGAGGAAATCCCGAAAGACAGTGTACAGACTTGTGATCCTGTGGTCATTAGTGCAGATGCCTGGGTGCACAAGGAAGACAGGACAAACCAGCAGGGATCTGTCTCAGGCAAACAGGATCCTACGGAAGAGGAGGCTGGCAGTCACAGAGCTCAAAGCCCCCTGCTCAAGGAAGAAGGGGATTCTCCTAAGTCTGAGATTAAAGACATTCCAGAGCAAACTAAGGCTGGAAGTGACAGTGTCCTGGCCTGCTCTGTTTCACAGGTATCCATTTTATCTTCAGTTGAGGAAAGGAGACTAGCTTGGACGAAGTCATTTAAACCTTGGTCGGAAATCTTTGAGCAAAATCAACTCAAGAAAACCATTAAAAAAAAGAGACTTACGAAGTGTCCAGCAAATACAATGCCTCCTTTGGATACATCAGCCATTCTCCAGCATGGCCCTTGGGATACTTTACAACAGGTATTTATAGTTTGAAAATACTATTTTTACACTGAATGAAAATTCATTTTCTATCATGTAATTTTGCCTTTCAATGGTTTTATGCATAAGAATTCCACCTCTTAGTAGATGAAGTTACTAATGACATATGGTCTTGTTTCAGAGGGCTTATATTTTTCAGATCTCAAGTAAAACTTTTCAGGATTTTACCCACCTTAGCAGTCTAAAGAGCTTTGATTTATACTTTTCAATGTCTTGAGTCTTGATTCAAGGCCCTGTAGGAACATCTGGAAATTATGGTTAAATTTATATAAATAAAGTTATATAAGGACACAGTACTTTAGCTGTTCAGGAGTTTATTCCAGATTGGGGCAAACTGTCTACCTTCATTCACATGAAAACGGTTACTGCAGTGAAGGAAGTACTGACAGATGGAGGGACCTAGATTTCCTGTGTGGAAATGTTATTAAGCCATATGCCATATAGTTGCAGTACACATAGGCTGGAAACACGGCTTGGTTTTCATTAAGTGCTACTAGTTTTCTGTATAGAACACAACATCAAACAGGCTTGACACAGAAACCTATGTATGAGGAACTTTGTATGATGCTTCAAACAAGTTACAAGTTTCATTTAACGGCAACTTGAATGCCAAATATATTTTGTAAAATTTATTTTAGAGGCATGAAAAGCATGTGCTTTTTAAAATTTCAGTTTTAAGCAGCATAGTCTTGAGCTGACATGGCTGCCCTCTGTGACTTGATTAAGTGATTATCAGGGTAGATTTGACATGTTGATATCTGGCCATTATCAAAGGTAAAATTTAAATTTCAGGTAACTAATAGTAAATAGAATCAGGATAGATATTTAAGATGATAAGAACCATGGTTCTGGTTTTCCAGAGACCTTTGGAATTATATATATATATATTTTTGTGCTATAGAACATCTAAAGACACTGGGCCATACCATTAGTTATCACACATGGAAACCGAGTATGTGGCAGAAGGGAGGTACCAGTTCCATCCAGAGTTGTAACATGGGTCAGGGAGAGGCTCCAAATCAAAGCCCTTTTGTGTCTCAGTTGGAGTAGGAGGTCCACATCTGGCACCATGTCCTCACGATGGAGTGGAAGGAAAATGACCAATGGTCTGCTGTGTGTCACCAGCCTCTCACCTTGAGACCTATCTTGGTCCCAATGAGGGACCATGATTCTGAAGATTAATATCATGAGTGTGAATGAAGAGCACCCTCTTAGGGAGCAGAACAGGTCTACAGACAGTGAGCTATACACAGGTGACGCCACATCTTCTATGGCTGCTTTTCATGAAAATAGTTTTTATGAGTCCATAGCATTTTATGCCTTCATGATTTGTCACCCTTATTTAAGAAGAAAATTGACAGGATCCTGAATGGGAAACATACTATTCCTAAACTCATGCAACTCCTGCCTCACATCCCACGTGCTGGGCTCACAGACCTGCAATACTATGTATATTTATCCTTTTAATTGCTTTAGGTCAGGGCTTTATGTATGCCACTCAAGTGTTCTCCCACCAGATTATACTCCATTTTTTTTGTAAAGACAGGTGTCCAGGCAAATCAACATATTAATAAATAATACAGTATGTTGTTCACTTGGAAGTTTTTAATATATTTGACCAGTAATTATTGGTGAGCTAAACAGAAAATGCAGACTTTGTCCCTTTGGAACATAAGCAAAGAAATGCTCCATAAATTTTGACTGCCATAAATAAAATTCCTGTGTATTCTGTGAAAGGAGAATAAATTAATTGGGTTTGTTGATTTACTTTCTTTGTGTATTCAGGGTTGAACTATGCTAGCTAGCACAAACTCTGCAACTTAACTATATTCCTTACTCTTTGGTAAGAAAAAAATGTTTTGAGACAGGGTCTCACGGGATTTCCCAGGCCAGCTTTGAGCTCACTGTGCAGCACTGGTAGACCGAAGCCTTATGTTCCTACCTCAACCTTCTGACCACTTGGAACTGCAGGTCTGCTCCACCAGTTCTGGCTGCTGCTGAGGTTTAGAAGAGACATCTCGATAGGAGAAAAGGAGCGTAAGGAACAAGAGTTAGAAACTACAAAGTAAAATGTTGTCTGTTTCCTAGTCAGCCTTTGGCCATGGCTGCCAGCTTTGTGCAACTACATAGGGATGTAGTTCTTCACTGGTTTTTCCTTGGGTGATGCTGTCCCTGTGGCCATTGTTTCTGTAGTCTCCTTTCCCTAAGTTTGTTTCAGGCTTTTCAGTATGATTACACTTGCAAAAACTACCCTCCTGTACCTATCTTAGGCTAGCTGCAGGTGCCAGTTCTAGGCCAACAATGTAGCCTGCTATGAAAGAAAACTTAAAGTTAGAGGAACTGAGTAACTGTTCATTGTTACTAACTTGTGTCTGCCCTAGTAGTGAGTAGAGTACTGCCCTTTGTCCTGGATGTTTCTTCTATTCACACCCTGTTATTTCCTGAGTACTTCTGTCAACTTCCTGCAAAAGGGGGATTAGCTCTCTTTAAATCTTTTGAAGTAATCTCCTAAAATGCCAACTAGGTTTTGTGGTTAATGGGCTAAACAAATATTACCCATTTTTCAAGTCTCTGAAGTGATGTGGTTATTACTGGTGGGTAGGCTGATTTGATAGCTGTGTTCTACAGGACTTTACCATACTTTCATGGTCACTAAAGCAACTGATGCATATATTTTATAAATGCTATGATTATGCTTTAATATGTCCTGAAAATATTGAACTACTATAAAATGCTCTTTTTGCTTCCAGAAAGTTTTTGTAATTTTTCTGTTTGAAATGTAGTTTATCATAGTATTTTATTCAACTACTGTAACTTTCCTACTTTGTCTGGTCTTTTAGCTTCAGATCCCTGTGCTTACCCTGATCTCACAAACACCATCTTTTTAAGGATTTTTTAAAGGCAGTCGGGGCAGGCGGGGGGTGCCATTTGTGTGTCAAAGTATACTTCTTAGGTAAACTCAAGGATACTTCATAATTAAATCTCTAAAAGATTGTAACAATCTTGAGTCATATATACACACACACACTATATATATATATGTATATGTATATACACATATGTATATACATGTATAATTAAATGAAAAATAGTAATAATTATGAAGATAATGAACAGATTGTAGGTTCCATCGGTGGGACAGATCATCCTCAAACCACAAGAGCTTGAGACACAAAACTCTCAAATATGGTTTTTCTTATTTATTTAAATTTGAAACAAGCTTTTTATTTTTACATGTCAATCTCAGTTTCCTCTCCCTCCCCTGCTTCCCTAACCCTCATCCCATCCCCTTTCTGCTTCCCAGGGAGGGTGAGGCCTTCCATGGGGATCTTCAAAGTTTGCCATATCATTTGGAGCAGGGCATAGACCCTCCCCTGTGTGTCTAGGCTGAGAGAGCATCCCTCTATGTGCAATGGGCTCCCAAAGTCCATTTGTATATTAGGGATAAATATTGACCCACTACCAGAGGCCCCATAGACTGCCCAGTCCTCCTAACTAACACCCACATTCAGGGGGTCTGGGTCAGTCCTATGATGGTTTCCCAGCTATCAGACTGGGGTCCATGAGCTCCCCTTGTTCGGGGCAGCAGTTTTTGTGGGTTTCTCCAGCCTGGTCTTGACCCCTTTGCTTATCATGCCTACCTCTCTACAACTGGATTCCAGGAGTTTGGCTCAGTGTTTAGTTGTGGGTGTCTGCTTCTGTTCCCATCAGCTACTAGATGAAGGGTCTAGGATGGCAGATAATGTAGTCATCAATGTCATTACTGGGGAAGGGCATTTAAGGTAGCCTTTCCATTATTGCTCAGATTATTACTTGGGGTCATCCTTGTAGAACTATGGACATTTTTCTAGTGCCAGATTTCTCTTTAAACTTAAATGGCTCCCTCTATTATGGTATCTTTTTTCTTGCTCTCCTCTATTCCTTGCCTGACTCAATCTTCCTGCTCCCGCATGTCCTCCTCTCTCCTCCTCTTCTCCCCTTCTCTTTCTCCTAACTATCTCTCCCCTCCCCCATGCTCCCAATATGCTCAGGAGATCTTGTTCTGTTCCCCTTCTCTGGGGGACCATGTATGTCTCCCTTAGGGTCCTTGTTTCCTTGCTTTTCTGGCTGTGGGGATTGTAGGCTGGTGATCTTTGCTCTATGTCTTAAATCCATATATAAGTGAATACATACCACGTTTTCCTTTTTTGTGACTGGGTTACTTCACTCAGGATGGTTTCTTCCAGTTCCATCCATTTGCCTGCGAATTTTAAGATTTCATATTTTTTCCCCTAGCTGAGCAGTGCTCCATTGTGTAAATGTACCACATTTTCTTCATCCATTCTTCAGTCGTGGGGCATTTAGGTTGCCTTCAGGTTCTGGCTATTACAAATAATGCTGCTATGAACATAGTTGAACAGATGTCCTTGTGTGAATATTCATCTTTTGGGTATATGTCTAAGAGTGGAATTGCTGGATCTTGTGGTATAATGATTCCCATTTTCCTGAGGAACCGCCATACTGATTTCCAAAGTGGCTGTATGAGTTTGCACTCCTACCAGCAGTAGAGGAGTGTGCCTCTTCCTCCACATCCTCCCCAGCGTAAACTGTCTTTGGTGTTTTTGATTTTAGCCATTCTGACAGGAGTAAGGTATCTCAGAGTTTTTTGATTTGCATTTCCCTAATGGCTAAGTATTTCGAGCACTTTCCTAAGTGTCTTTCAGCCATTTTAGATTCTTCTATTGAGAATTCTCTATTTAGTTCTGTACTCCACTTTTTAATTGGATTATTTCATGTTTTGGTAATTAGCTTCTTGAGTTCTTTGTGTAATTTGGAGATCAGCCCTCTGTCAGATGTGGGGTTTTCCCATTCTGTGGCCTGCCGTTTTGTCTTGTTGATTGTGTCCTTTGCCTTATAGCAGCTTCTCAGTTTTAGGAGGTCCCATTTATTAATTGCTGATCTCAGTGTCTATGCTACTGGTGTTATGTTCAGGAAGCAGTCTTCTATACCATTTTCTTCAAGGATAACTCTCACTTTCTTTTCTAAGAGGTTCAGTGTAGCTGGGTTTATGTTGAGGTCTTTGATCCATTTGGACTTAAGTTTATCATGTAGTTATGTCAGCACCATTTGATGAAGATGCTCTTTTCCTTCCTTTGTATAATTTTAGCTTCTTTGTCAAAAATCAGGTATTCATAGGTGTGTGGGTTAATATCAAGATTTTCAATTTGATTCCATTGTCCTACCTGTCTACCTTTGCACCAATACCAAATTGTTTTCAAGATTATAGCTCTAAAATAGAGCTTGAAGTCAGGCATGGTGATGCTTCTGCAAGTGCCTCTGTTGTACATGGTTGTATTGGCTATCCTGGGTCTTTTGTTTTTCTATATATAGTTGAATATACTTTCAAGGTCTGTGAAGAATTGTGCCAGGATTTTGATGGGGATTGCATTGAATGTGTAGATTACTTTTGGCAAGATTGCCACTTTTACTATGTTGATCCTGCCTATCCAAGAGCATGGGAGATCTTTCCATTTTCTGGTATCTTCTTTAATTTTGTTCTTTAGAGACTCAGAGTTCTTTTTATAAAGGTCTTTCACTTGTTTGGTTAGTGTTACTCCAAGATATTTTATGTAGTTTGTTGGTATTGTAAAGGGTGATGATTTTTTCTGATTTCTTTCTCAGCCTCTTTATCATCTGTATATAGTAGGGCTACTGATTTTCTTTTTGAGTTAATCTTGTATCCTGCTAATTTGCTGAATGTGTTTATCAGCTGTAGGAGTTCCCTGGTAGATTTTTTCTGGTTAGTTTTGTAGACTATCATATCATCTGCAAACAGTGAAAGTTTGACTTCTTCCTTTCCAATTTGTATCCCTTTGATCTCTTTTTGTTTTATTATTGCTCTGGCTAGAACTTCAAGTACAATGAGATATGGAGAGAGTGGGCAGCCTTGTCTTGTTCCTGATTTTAGAGGAATCACATTGAGTTTCTCTCCATATAGTCAAATATGTTTTATATGACTGCAGTAAATATATTTGAGTCTTGCAACAAGTTGAAACAATTCATTATTTTTTTTTTAATTTTGGAAACTTTTAGTCAAATTCTTTTATGTCTCTACTGATATTTTTCAAGCTGATTAATTTGAGGGCTACAAACAACAAATATGAACACTTATTTTAATGTCATATGCTTGGAATACTTTAGGATGGGGTGTAGAATACATTCCTAATATCAAAGGGATTTTTAGCTGGGTGTTGGTGGCACAAGCCTTTAATCTCAGCACTCAGGAGGAGGAAGCAGGTGGATCTTTGTGAGTTTGAGTCCAGCCTGAACTCAATACAAAGGAACCCTGTCTTGAAAACCCCCCCCAAAAGGGGGGGATTTTTAAATGTTCAAACAAATGGAAAAAATACTGTGAAACTCCCTACATGTAGCCAAAGGTAGATGTCTGTAGCAAGATGTCAATATAACCTTCATTTATAAATTGTAATGAAATGAAACTAATTTATAATGAGATTACAAATTAATGAGATTATCCCATTATAAGTAACTAAAATCTGATTTTGACTCTATAGTTGGCTGAAATAGGCATGTTGTCAAATAAGGCAGAATAATGTCTTTCATTGTTATATAGCTTGCTGGAATTGTCAATTTTTGAGTTATTCAATTCTCAGTCTGTTTTCATTTTGTAGTGTATAGCCACTATCAAATTATAGAATTTATCTGTTTGCATTCAAATTCAATAAGAAGTGCATTTGCCCTTGTCACTTAAGTGGATTATACATTTTCATTCCTAAAAATTTGGAAAGATAATTGGCTTCAAGGATTACTTTAGCTAATGAATAGTTGGTATACTTGGGATGATTATAAAGTAGACCCTTTATTTAGCTAAAGTTTAAAAAATATGTTATTACTTTTGTTGATTAAGCAAGAAATGGGCCAAATCCTGGCTGTGTAACTCCATCAATATATGTCCGTCCCTGTCAGAGATCCAGGAATCTCAATTCTATTCTGGGGCACATAGCATAGATGTTTATATGCTAGATTACACAAAGAAAAATACTTCAAATCCTGAAAACAACAAAAATTTACTAAAGTTGAGGGAGAAACTATATAAGGGATTATCACATTGCTTTCGTGTACTTTACCTTTGAACTTGAATTGATTATGAATGATTGCCTTGACTTATCTTGCTTTGTTGCAAGAAAAAGAGACCAGATATGTAGCCTGAAACTAAGTTCTTAATAAAGGTAGGATTCTATGCATACAGTTTCTTGGGTGAATTTTTGAACTCATTTGTGCTGTTCAGCAATGTCATGTCACTCATCACAGCCTCCTTGAAATGTCTAGGTCACAGCCATTACATTTCAGGATTTGCCTGGCTGTAGTCTCTCTACGCTGACAGAATGTACCAATCTTCAGCTTCTCTCCCTCCGACGCTGTGGATTAACTTCCTTGCATGGCCTGAACCACTGCAAAAACCTCAAGTATATCGATGCACAGGCAAGTTGTTTGTTGTTATCATTTACCATACAATAAATGTTAAATGGACGCATGTTTAGATTTCAGACAGGATAGTTTTGAAGGAGCAGTAAAATAACTAGCTGAGCGTTTTGTACCTGTTAACATGGTCACATATTAGTTGGGTTGAGAATTTCCCAACATCCTTTGTTTGTTTGCTTTGTTTTGGCTACATTGTTAAAGCGCCTCAAAGGTGAGACTATCTTGTGGCTGGTAGAGATTCTTACTTTCCAAGACTGGGAGTTCATCCAGACATGTGCCAGTGTGCAAGTGCATATCAAGCATCTGTGTGCATCATGTCACCCAATGTTTCATTGGCTGAGTTCTGACTTCTTGTGGGAGAGAACTATGTGTGTGTCAATATTGGGTTATCAGGTTTGTTTGTTTGTTTGTTTGTTTGTTTGTTTTGAGACAGGATTTCTCTGTATAGCTCTGGCTGTCCTGGAACTCACTCTGTAGACCAGGCTGGCTTAGAATTATAGAGATCCACTTGCCTCTGCCTTCCAAGTCCTGGGATTAAAGGTGTGCACCATGAATGCCCAACATGTTATTAGTTTTCTAAAAGATTATCAAACTAGTGTTCCTTCACAATCTGCCACCCTCTGTCTTCTAATGATCCACACAGAGAAAACTGCTTCATGTCCCAAAGATCACAGAATCTCATCAGTTCATGCTGTCTATTCATGACCTATGCATCTACATCAGATCCTGGTGGAGAAGCAGCTTCTCATTGCCATTTCTCAGCTATACTTGTGAAAGCATGGTCCTTACAAGTCAGAGAGATGTGCAGTGAAAGGGAAAGATACCCTCCACACCCCATTCACCTGCCTTGTCCTCTCAGAAATAACTGCAATAATGGGCTTAGTCAATCATCACAAACCTTTCCATCTGAAGCACAAGCAACATAACACTCATTTGGGTTGATCAGAATATTCTGTTATATTATCCTCTATATTTCTGAAGAATAGTAATAAGCAAATGTAAAAATAGCTAATTCTTTGTGGATTATTTTTCTTCACACTGTAGCTATTTGCATGATTATTTTCGAAATTAGAGACTTAAGTGTCGATTTAGACATCATATCTCCACCTTCATATTTTGAAAGGATGAAGTATCATTTTACAAGAGATTGAAATAAAATTAGTGTATTTGTTCTTTCTTTGCTTTAGGAAAACCAAATTGAGAATGTCAATTGTGAAAATTTGGAAAATCTCTGCGTTCTTCTTCTTAATAAAAACCTGCTGACTTCTATTCATGGTTTGGATGGATGCACTAATATCCAAAAACTTGAAGTTTCACATAACAAAATCACTCGAATAAGTAAGATCCATTTTAATATTTAAACATTTAGTTGGCATAATTACATTTTGTTTCATTTACTCGTCTTAGAAGTAGCCTCTTCGAGGGCTAGAGAGACAGTTCAGATGTTAAAGTATTGACTTACAAGCATGAACACGTTAATCTAATCTCCAGAATCCTGTAAAAAATCCTGGGAATGCTAGGCAATGGTGGCACACATCTTTAATCCAGGCACTTTGGAGGCAGAGGCAGCTGAAGCTGTGTGAGTCTGAGGCCAGTCTGCTCTACTGATCAAGTTCCAGGACAGCCAGGATTGTTACACAGAGAAACCCTGTCTCGAAATACCAAAAAAAAAAAAAAAAAAAAAAAAAAAAAAAAAAAAAAAAATCCTGGTGAGATGTTAGGGTGCTGCTCAGTGGTTAGAGGGCTTGAAGTTCAAGCTTGAAGGCCACAGAATCCATGTAAGCTCTGCATGGGCATGGGAAGCTGCGTTTGATCCCCATCACTGAAGGCGAGAACAAGAGAGCATCAGTACAAGCTGCCTTGTAAGATTAGATTCATCAGTGAGATCTGGCTTTAATTGAGAGATTCTCCCTCAGTGAATGAGATGGGAGATCAATGCAGGATGACTCCTTCGACATCAGCATTGGGCCTTCACGTGCACATGCATGTATGTGTATGCGCAGGAAGCCACAGTGTGCCATATGTTCTTTAAGGTGCATATAACGTGCATACTACATACACACATGTGCACCCACATATAGACACATGAGAAGTGAAAAGCAAGTCAGGCTTGAGAGCATACATTTGTAAAGGAGGTGAGGACAACTCAGATTCCTGAGCCAACCTGGCCTCAGTAGTGAGTTAGTGAATTTCAGTACAGTGAAGATGCACACCATAGTGACACACACACATTCACACACACACACACCACATACATACATACACCACATACATACACACACACACCACATACACTCACACACACATACCACATACACACACACACTCCCACACACACATACCACATACATACACACACACACACACTCCCACACACACACACTCCCACACCACATACACAGGCACGCACACACGCCGTAGGCTGATATCCTTGATTTGCATTTTTAACTATTTTTATCCCTACTTAATCTAGATTAGAAAAATGACTGACTCTATTTAAATGTATATTAAAACAATGTAATGTATGTGTCCTAAGTGAATAGCTATTAGCCATCCTTGAAGTTAGGACATTCCTTTTTTTTGTTCCTTTTCTTGTAGAAATGAATTAAACTCCACTGGGGAATTTTAAAGCCACTTCTCTGGCCTGATTTTATTGATCCGGTGTACGCCATTCTTCTCAGCATTTGCAATAATACTTTCCCATTTAACTTGATGTTTGAAACTAACTGGACAACTTGAACTGAGCCTGTCCTCTTTCACTGAGGTTGCTAACATCATATGACATAGTGTATTAGGGTGAATTTCCCTTGAGCCTCCCAGTAGCTCATGACTAAATGTGCGTAGCTGTGTATCCGAAAGTGTGTATTTCATACTTTCTAGTCCACACAGTTGAACAGATTAACTTCAGTTTTTTAAAAAATTTAACACCAGATACTCAAGGACCCTCACGGGGACTGAACAGTTAATAAGCAGTCAAAGATTTCCAGAAGGTTGGGAACTTGATGAAAGTATGACTCTGATAGCTCTACAAATAGCTGAAACTTTTGCTTCCCCCCCCCATGGGTATCATCTTACTTCCTCTGCTCTCCACATCACTATTAAATCCGTCTGCCAAAGAAATATTTGGTGGGAGTGGAGTCTGTTCAGATGAGTCAGCATTTTGTCTATGTAGGCTGGGTTCTATTTAGGCTCCTTGACATTCCTTCTGTGTGTTTGCTTATATTTGCTTTTTCTCTCCTTGCTGTGGGAAAAATTTAAAACATTTATAAAAACAGACTCATACAACAGAAAATCCATGTACCCATTACATATGTTCAGTATTCAGAGTAGATTATGCCAATTGTAACTCACTCGCTCTTGTAGTAAAGTATTAGGTTTGGACACTTTTCTTGTATTTCTCTTCATGCCAATCACCTTCTATTTCATGTTGGGAAAGAAAAACATCCTTATTTTCAAAGCCATCTCCTTAAAGGATATACTTTAAAAAATATGATTCCCTCATATTCTGTTCCTGTTTATCTGCCACATACTTTGAGACCACCCATGAATTTTCCCAAATAGAAATATTAAAATTGTTGATACATTTTTTAGTTTGTTCAGAAATTCTAGCATACATGCATATAGGAATAATGACGTTTTCAATGGAGATAAGAGCCTTGGTAATGTATACTACTATGCGGGTACACATTAGAGTTCTAGAGCAAAACTAAAAAGCCAAAAACAGACACCGTTTTAAAGAAGAATCGGTAGAGTTGCCATTTTTATTGGCATTAGTATTATGTGGGAATTTGTGTAAGCAATGGATTCTCTGGGACAGGATATCTATAAGATTTACGTGAAAACTGCCACTGCTTTAATTGATGTGCCTGAGGTACCTCTGTAGTACAGAGAAAACAAGGCTCGGATGTCTTTGCTGTCTGTTGGGTGTAGCTGGACTACTGTATTTATTGAGTGTGAGAAGAGCATATATTTGCAAGTGCTCTCCTGACGAGCATTGGAGTCTGTTTTTCATCTTTAGGAGCAGTTTAGAAATTCTGGTTGAGCTACGTTAAAAGATAGATTTTGGCATTTGGATGATATATATCTCTTAAGAACTCTCACGAAGGAGCAGAAAGATGGATTAGTACTTGTAAGTCAGCAAGTTACTGTTGCACTGTATAATATTTCTTAAGTAAGTGAAGTAAAATTGGCACAAATACCATGCTATTTATATTTTCGTTTCAAATTTAACTGGTTGTCAATGCTCTGCTAAGCCCCCTCTGTCTTTGCTGTAGGCATTAAACAATGCTCACTCCAACTAATCTTTATATTCAGAAATATTATGTTTTATCTGACTGTGTTTCTTTAGATTTAAGTGGGCAAGAATAGTGATTTTTTTAACATTAATCTCTTTAAAGAAATTCATTTGAAATTAAAATCAATTCACTATAAAATAAACAATGTAATATTAGACAATATGAAATACTTAATTTCAAAGTGAGAGATACTTTTAACAAAAGTAATGGTAAATTCAAGTTACGAAACTGAATTTTTATTTATTATTGAATTTGATATTTAAATAATTTACATGCAGTATCCATGGGAACACACACTTTTCACTATCACTAGTGATGTACACATGCAAAAGAAAATTGAATGACACTGCTAAGTTTTCTACTTAACAAGGTACATATTATTTTCAGTCAGTGAAGTTAAGAGATAAGCAGCTTTTTTTGGAGTATGTACTTTTGTACACATTGTGTAGTAATATAAAGTGCAGTGTTCGAGTTTTTATTTTTATTTTTTTTAATTTTTGCTTTTTCACTTAACTTCATTATTGATTCTTTGGAAGTCTCACACCATGCACCCAAATTCTGCTCACCTCCTGGTCCCCCCATACCCTCCCCTCACCCCTGCAACACTCCCCCACAAAAGGAAACAAAACAAAGCAAATAAAAGCAAGAACAAACCAAACCAAACACTGTTTTGAAATTTCCGTGAATTCTTGGAACTGTTTGGAGAGACATTTCCATTGAAGAAGAATTTGGCATGAACGTGAGTCTATTCTGCATATTCAGAATGAGCTCACAGATCCTTACTGCTCAAGTTGTCTTTAGCAAATTCACTTTTATCAGACCAGACATTTAGTTATTCTTTTTTATTTAAATTATATTTTATTTTTCTTCAACTTCCCATTTATAATTTAGTTTAGTTTGGTTGGACTGTAGTTAAATGGCATATTTGGTATGATTTCTATAACTGATGTCTTCTTTTGCCTAAAATTGGGAAAACATTTGTTTTCAATGTTTGAGATGGAGAAATAATTCTGGAATGGAAGTTTGATATTTCTGGTTAAAGTTTCTAGGACTGGCTTACAGAGAGTTTAAGATTTTTAAAAATTTCTTTTAATTTTATTTTTTTTATTTTTATTTTATATATCAATCCCAGTTCCCTCTCCCGCCCACCCTCCCGGCCTCCCTCACCCCCTCCCTCCGTCTTTCCCTCTCTCCCACCCTCACATGCACCCTGACAATACTCCCCTCCCAACCCCCACTCCATATGTAGGGTGATGCCCTCCAGGTGGGATCATCTAAATCTGTCAAGTTGTTTGAAGTAGGGACTAGGCCTTCTCTCCTGTCTCTAGGTTAAGGCAGTATCCCTTCATGGGAGATCTGCCCGCAAGGTCCTTTTGTGCACCAGGGATACATCCTGGTTCCACTGTCTGAGGTCCCTTAGACTGTTCAGTCCTTCTGGCTGAGACCCATGTTCAAGGGGTCTGAGTCAGTCCTGTGCTGGATTCCCAGCTATCAGTCTGGGGGCCCATTAGCTCCTCCTTGTTCAGGTCAGCTGTCTCTGTGGGTTTCTGCAGCCTGGTCTTGTCCTCCCTCTCTGCATCTGGATTCTAGTTTGGCTCAGTGTTTAGTTGTGGGTGTTTGCTTTTGTTTCCATCAGGTACTAGATGAGGGTTCTATGATGGTGGATAAGTTAGTCGTTGATCTCATTATCAGAGAAGGGCATTTATAGTAGCCTTTCCAATGTTGCTCAAATTGTTAGTTGGGGTCAGTCTTGTAGGTCTCTGGACATTTCTCTGGGTTAAGAGTTTTCTCTTCAAACCTATAATGGCTCTGTCTTTTATGGTCTCTCTCTCTCTCTCTCTCTCTCTCTCTCTCTCTCTCTCTCTCTCTCTCGCCTCTCTTCTATCCTTCCCCTGACTCAGTCTTCCTAGTCCCATACATTTTCTTGAAACAATTTTCTTTTAAAAATAGCCTATGCCAATGAAAATGAGGTAATTTATTTTCAATTACTTTTTATTTAAATAAAAAAAGCATCTTAATTTACACACCGACCCAAGTTCCCTC